TCACTTACGTACTCAACCTGCAACGGAACCACGAATGACGCCATTTTCGCTTGTCATTTCTGGTTTGAGTAGTGATCAGTCAGCAGTAGCGTAGGCATGAATATGTAAGCTGAAGCTGAGTAGACGACTTTCGTAAACGTTCGATTCAGGCACTTTCGGGTATGCAATCAGGATACTGTTAGGAAAGCATACTTTGAGTTAGCTGAGCAGCCAAAAGCATGATGACTGTTTCGAACCAATGCACATATTTTTGAATATTACGAATTAAGTCTTTCTGGAATGGGAAGTGTAATTAGTGGTGGTCTTCACGAAGAGGCCTAGTATAAATGCGGCCTAGAACACTGTTCCACATCTGCTGACCAACTGGAAGAAGTTGTGAAAATTTCCCTTGGAAATGGCGCGAATCAACAAGCTTCAAAACTCAGAAATCAGCAGAGGGCGAAGTGATTGCACATTTTTTGGTGGAAGAACTTAGTCGACAAATGAGCTTTGTATCCGCGCGAGCGGGTATGAAGTATGTGGGCTATAAATGGCACGTAATGAGACTATTTTTTTGCGCTAAGGAAATTTTATAACTCGTTCGGATGATCGTTCAGCGGATATGAAAGGCAGAATTGAAATAAGCATTTTGAAGCGCAGATGTATGCCTCTTATAAAGCGACGGTCACTAGTATCTTTTCTATGGAAGATGTTTCTCGGATCCTAATTTTGAAAGAGCCTGTTTTTAGAATTGCCAATCGGATACAAAAAAATCTCAGTTGGAGTCAGTAGGTGAAAATGCCGATGAACTAATTAACAATGTCCCGTATTTGAAAGTAGGGCGAAACCTTCATATTGTATTGGTAGCTAATTAAACATAGTTTTGTCGAAAGTAGTATGGAGGCGCTGGGGTCAGATGTCAAATTCTCTATTTTGCTTCTCTTTGACGAAAAGGGCTAAGGCCAAACCGGATATTTACCCAAACAAACCGTACTCACTCCATTGTGGGTCTCAACACGAGCAAACTGACGCGCTGTTA